GAGTTAAAGTTGATAGAAGAATCCTGTGAGTTGGTTGGCAAGAAATGGATAATGAACTATCCTTGGAAGAAAGACCCTAGCCAATTGCCAAACAACTATTCGCAAGTCCTGAAGAAGCTGAAAAGTACAGAGCGTCGCTTGAGTAAACAGCCCAAACATGCCAAAGATTATGATACACAGATAAAAGAAATGGAAGATAGAAAGTTCTCGAGAAAGTTAACACAAGAGGAAGTCGCAGAATGGAAAAAGCCAGCCCATTATATCGCTCACCACGCCGTAGTTCGTGAAGAAAAGAAGTCTACGCCAGTGCGTATCGTTTTCAACAGTTCAGCGTCGTTCAAAGGACACTGTCTAAACGATTATTGGTACAAAGGTCCCGACCTACTGAATAACCTTTTCGGGGTAATACTGCGTTTCCGAGAGAATGCTGTTGCTGTTTGTGGTGACATTGCAAAGATGTATCATATGGTTGGCATCCCGCCAATTGATCAACATGTCCACCGCTTTCTTTGGAGGAGTTTCGAGACAGAACGCGAGCCTGATACCTACGTTAAGACAGTTCTTACGTTTGGGGACCGTCCATCGCCCACCATGGCCATCGTTGCAATGCGTAAAACTGCTGAGCTGAAAGAGGATGTCAAGCCGGAAGCTGCCAATTCAATCAAGAAAAATACCTACATGGATGACATATGTGACTCGCAGAACACCGTACAAGCAGCCAAAGAACTGACAAGAGATATTGATGAAGTACTTGATGCTGGCGGATTCCACGTCAAGGGATGGGTATCAAACGCAGTGTTGAATGATGAAGAGCAACAAGGAGAAGTCGTACTTGGTCAAGATCCGCTGAACGATACACAGAAAGTTCTTGGAACAGTTTGGAACCCTCAACAAGATAAGTTTTCATTCAAAGTTAAATTGGGACACACTGATGTTTCAGAATCGGATGAATCCCTACGCTCTACAGTTCCAGGAAAGTTAACAAAGCGTATCATTTTGAGCAAGATATCTGAAATCTTTGACCCGATTGGAGGTGGTGCCGCTGTTCTGATAAAAGCGAAGATAGCGATGCAAGAGTTATGGCTACGAGGGCTGGGTTGGGATGACGATGTCCCACCAGACGTCAGAAAGAAATGGACGGTGTTGTTCAATGAAATGTCTACCTTAAATGAGATTGAATTCGAGCGATGCTTAACACCCCTGAATGCAATTAGTAATCCATGGTTAATTGTATTCTGTGATGCTTCTCGGTTGGCATTTGGTACTTGTGCATATATGAGATGGCAACTTGAAGACGGAGCATTCGGCGTAAGATTTGTTGCTGCGAAATCTCGGGTGGCGCCATTGAAAGAACTCACAATTCCTCGCCTGGAATTACAAGCTGCAGTCTTAGCCAGCCGCTTGGCTAAGGCCATCCTGAAGGAAACCCGCCTGAGGATTGCACGAACAATCTTCTTCTCGGACAGTCGTGTCACACTTGCATGGATTTAAGGACAGCCGCGAACCTATAAACCCTTTGTTTCTTGCCGAGTTAGTGAGATTCAATCAAACTCCGACCCTTCCAACTGGCTCCATTGTCCCACTGCAATGAACGTGGCGGACGATTTAACGAAAGGTATTTCGGCTGAAGAAGTGAATGGTAGATGGTTAAACGGTCCGGTGTTTATACAGTTACCCGAGGAGCAATGGCCGATGGAAACTGGCGTACCAGAAAGAAAGGAAGTTAACAAAGAAAGGAGACAAGTCAAGATCGTATGTCCTGTCGCTGTCAGCAAGCCGTTATTCGACTGTAAACGGTTCTCGAAGTGGAAACGAGTAATAAGGATCACGAGTTACATCCAGAGATTTATCCAGAATTGTCGAATCAAGTGTGGTCGAAATGAGAGAAATCAACAACCAGAAGTTGGTCCATTAACCAATCAAGAATTGGAAAACGCGGAGGAGTACTGGCTAAAACAGATGCAGTCAAATCTCTTAAAGAGATTACCTAGAGGCGATTTCAAGACCCTGTCTCCATATAAGGACGATAGAAATATCCTCAGGGTAGGAGGTCGTGTGGATCCAACCTTAGTTTCCTACGATGAAAGACGTCCCGCACTTTTACCATATGATCACTATCTGTCCACCTTAATAGTCCGTGATGCTCACGAAACAAGTCATTCTGGTGTCGCCACGACAGTCGCCAAAATACGTAGAATGTATTGGGTCATCAAAGCTCATAGGATTGCGAAAGTCGTCAAGCAACGGTGCACAACATGTCGAAAGCTCGAAGCGAAAGTTGAAACCCAGCTCATGGCTATCCTGCCACCATTTCGTTTGCAGCCGTGCACCCCACCGTTCCTCTACTCAACGATGGATTACTTTGGACCAATCAACGTAAAAGTAGGCAGAAACAAAACAGTTAAACATTATGGTGTAGTATTCACGTGCATGAATACCAGAGCCATCCATTGCGAGATTGCAGTTGATGCCAGCACGATGGAGCTCTGGCAAGTCTTAAGAAGGTTCTTTTCATACCGTGGTTATCCGAAAGTGCTCTTATCTGACAACGGAACGCAGATGGTAGGAGCAAACAACGAATTGAAGTTAATGATCGAAGGATGGAACAAAGATCAATTGGAAGAATTTTGCGCAGCCAGAGGAATGAAATGGCAATTCATCACACCATTGGCACCGCATCAAAATGGATGCTCTGAGGCGATGGTAAAAAGTGTGAAGCTAGCAATGAAGAGAGCAATTGGCGACGCCCTTTTAACACCATTCGAGCTATACACGTGCGTTTTGGAAGCTGCGAATTTGGTTAACCAACGGCCGATTGGAAGCGTACCAACAGATCCGGATGATGGCGGATACCTATGTCCAAACGATATACTATTGGGCAGAGCTACGAACGCTGTGCCTCAAGGTCCGTTCCGAGAAACACAAAATCCTCGCCACCGATTCGAGTTTTGTCAGAGAATTATTGATGCTTTTTGGAAGAAGTGGTCAAGAGACGCCCTACCGCTATTAACCCCACGAAGAAAATGGAATACGCAGACTCGTAATGTAACGGTGAACGATTATGTTATAGTGTCCGAGCCAAACGCAGTAAGGGGAAAGTGGAACACCGGAAAGATCGTGGAAGTCTATCAGGGAGAGGACGGGTTGGTCAGGAATGTGAAGGTGAAAACTGCTACGGGAACCTACAGCCGACCTATCAACAAGATATGCGTAATTTATCCAGCAGAAGGCTACGAAGAGGAGTGAATGGGAATTCTCCCATTGTCGGGGGGAGTGTTTCATTGACGATGAAAGGACTTCATGTAAGACTATTTTAATGTTTTAGTTAGTCGGAGTTTACTCGGACCTTAGTCGGAAGGGTTCGTAGGAAAAATGTGATGAGCTTGTAGAAATGTTTTGAACAAGTTTTCGTATGGTTTTATGAAGTTTATAAAGTTTTAAGTAAGGTTTATTATTGTTAAATGTTAAGATAAAAGGAAAAGGATACTTGCTTAGGACAGATGTAAGTAGAAAGCCTTAGTTAATTCATTTTTGTGATTTAGTACTAATTTAATACATGTAAACATACCGATTTAATTTCATTATTATTTAGTTTCAGATTGTTGTTATTTGTGAATAAATCTTAATACTGAAATCCCAAGCGTGTATTGTATTATTGGATTATTGTATGTTAGCTCCAAGTTATCGTCGGTCCAGAACTAATGTGTTAATTATAACCATTCTCTAATATAATTGCATGATTTCATCCATATGTTCCAGTTTGCATATAAACAATATCAAAGTTTATTGGGCAGGAAAACTGACCTTTCACAGTTAGAATTGAAGACAAGTTTAAATTCTATTTCCTGATCTTGTATTTATAGCCTTCATATTTAGCATTTGGATTATAGAATCTCCAAATGATTTTACACGCATCTCTCTTAATTGAACATGCTCAATCTCGGCAAAGATTAATTCGACTGCTTTTATATCAATAAACATTTTGCGGTAGATGGAAACACAAAACACATTCCTTGATCGTTTCCTGTGCAATAAGCCTTCTAAGACCTCATTGAATATACTTGACAGGTTCTTGCATAAATTAGTTCTGACCCTCAGTTATACACGTTGTTAGTCTTGTTACGATTCAAGTGCAATTTTATCCCACTCAGAATACATGGTCATCGAAACTCTGAAAAGGTTGCATCGCACAGTCAGCCTATAGCCCGGTTTCCATACTGCCGGGTCGTAAAGATTGAGTCACCAATCTTTCTTATCAGCCGAAATACAACATTTTAAGCACTAGGTGTCCCAGTTGATTTGGACCCCCGTAGATTTGGACCCCCGGTCCATATCCACTAGTAGATATGGACCCCCCGGTCCAAATCTCCTAGCAGATATGGACCCCCGGGGGTCCAAATCTACTAGTAAATACGGACCCCCGTTGGCGGATTTGGACCCCCCTTCAAAAGTTAAATATATGTAATGTGAACACAATAATATAAACCAAATTCATAATAGCGATCAATCTGAAGTATTTTATCACTTTAAATATTTGTGATAAAGGCCACAAAACGTAGAAATGTATAGTCTTTGCCAACAACGAATCTGCTAATGGTTTTTAACAAAAGCGATAGAAATTGCATATAGCATTTGGATCGACACGAAACACGATTTTCATGAATGTTTTTAAACAATAAGTGATGGTGCGGGATTTCTTGTGCGAGAAATGGCTTCACATCAAATGAGAGAATCTCGAGGCATTTCCAGATGAAGATGAATGGCTTTGTAGAGCATGTCGACCTTTACCAACGGAATTACGACCGAAAATTGTGAACAGATTTTTATCTATTCTGGTCATATAAACGCCATATTACGTATATACATGAGTTTTTAGCGTGTTTATTTATCCTTTTATAGTTGTATACATACTTTCCATTTGGACCTTTATTTGTAGTTTAAGATTTTTGAATTTGGATCTCACTGGCAATAAAAAAAGTTTTCTATTCACAAAAAATGACTATGTGTGGTTGATAAGCAGGTCCGGGTATCTGAAAACTAATGAATTTAATTAACATATTTACTGTTATTGGTGTTGTTTTTAGTATATAAAAGTGTTTAAAAAAGGGGGTCCATATCCGCTAAAGGGGGTCCATATCTACTAGGAGATTTGGACCGGGGGGTCCATATCTACTAGGAGATTTGGACCGGGCGGTCCAAATCTACTCATCGCCAACTATTGCGGTCTTATGTCAATCCTGCTATCCAGCGGAAGCTCCCTGAAATGCGTAACGTGAATGTTTTGCAATGTTTTGAAATGACCAAGTGGGAATAAACGAGCCAGTTCTAATAGAAACACATAAGTGTTTCGCCTATGGGTTAAACTTTTAATTTCGACGCTCGAATAGTCGTTATTGTCAAAATAAATGGTTTTAAGCACAGAAAACATTACAATATTTCGTCGAGTTTTAAGTTATTTAATACGGCTGACCTTTGGTTGACCTTTTAGTTTTGGCAACAGCCAAATGGCTCAACTTCTACCGCTGGCAGCACGGATTGTGTTTCGTGCATCCCAGAAGCGTTTGCAGGGTTGAAAAATACACATCGTGGCGATCATTTTGGTACCAAGTACAACCTACTGCGAGTGATATTTCACCTTCAATTTAGCTTTTAAACGCACTAAAATTTGCGGCGATGCGACCAGATATTAACAGCGCATAATATTCTAAGTGTCTACGAAAATTCATGATATTTGATGGTAAATACGAAAAACTTCTTCAATGTTTTATGTGCCCAATTTTTGTGAGCAACTAGCGAGGATCCTCAAGGTTGGTGTTCGGCTAGATTATAGAATACCCGTCCATTTATGATACTGTTTATTTTGGGGGGATACGGTGATACGCAGTGAATGAAATGACGTAATTATTCGAGTGTTTGGGTAAATATTAAGTTTCAATGATACGGGGATACGGTGATACGCAGTGAAGGAAATTACGTAATTATTCTAATGTTTCGGTATCAAAATAAACGGGGAATCGTTAATCAAATAATTAATCTATATTTTCAATAATATAGGGTTATAAATATATTGTATTTCTCGTTCTCAATATACCCCGCACAAAACATTACTCATATATTGTATTCCTCACGTTCTCAACTAAACCCCGCACAAAATATTACTCATATATTTTATTTCTCGGTCTCAATAAACCCCGCACAAAATATTACTCATATATTGTATTTCTCGTTCTCAATAAACCCCGCACAAAATATTACTCGTAACAAAATATTACTCATATATTGTATTTCTCGTTCTCAATAAACCCCGCACAAAATATTACTCATATATTGTAGTTCTCGTTCTCAATAAACCCCGCACAAAATATTACTCATATATTGTATTTCTCGTTCTCAATATACCCCGCACGAAACATTACTCATATATTGTATTCCTCACGTTCTCAACTAAACCGCGCACAAAATATTACTCATATA